TCAACCATATTGCTTTATTGCAAACCCGCTTATTAATTATGAACTAGAAAAGTGTTGAGTCCCACATTGGCCATAGAAAATGAGAAATAATAGTTTGAATATCTTAATTCCACTCCAACTAATATTAAGGTCTTTAGTGATAAAATTTCACACTTGACGGATTGTGCAGGTGAGACAATATCGGCAGATTGGACACTTGTTAATTATCAAGTTGGGGACAATATCAATGTTGTTGGAAGTAGGTATTTGATCCGACTCTCTAATAATTCTACAAAATAAAGAAATAAAATATACTAAACTCCAAATGCATTCACTCAAAAATATTCCCTACAAACTCTCTATGCCTTACTCGCAAATCTGTGCCCCTTGTGGTTAGGTGTGGGGTATTCCCTCTTTCCACTTCCGTTGGAAGTTTTGTGCACTCAACCTCGTCGCTAATGTAAGGACATGTATTATTTGGTTTACATGTCCTTGTTATTAACACATGACGTCCTTATGGCGACAAACATGTACTATACAAGTTGTTAACCAGAAGTAGGTTTTATGTCTCAATATTTTATATAACAAGTGTAGTGCTTGTTTGAATGTGTTTTAAATGATTAAAAACACTTTTGGTGAAAATATTTTTGGAAACAATTCTTAGTAAAAATGCTAGTAAATCCTTGAAAAACACTTGAAGTGCTTCTTGGAAGAAGCACATAATTGGTACTTCTTGTAGAAAGCACTTAAAGTGCGTTTGGAACCCAAAAACATTTTATCTAAAAGCGTTTTCAGTCATTTTAAAAGCACATCCAAACGAGCTCATAAAATATATAAATAATGCTATAAGTAACGCATAATATTTACTAATTGCATATTTATTTCTTTTTATCCCATTATTCACTTTTTATAAATGATGTATTGCCTTGATGCTTAGGATTTTCCTATTCCACTCACTCTCAAAATCATTTCACTTCCATTAGCATACGTAAATAAGAATAATAATGTCGTTTGTACTAAAAACAAGTAATTTTTTCTCATAAAATATAGGGTGGTGCTATCCACGCACCCATTTTTATCTCTCACACACCCCTCTCAATTTTCAATCGCTGAATCGTGTGAATTAAAGAAGATCAATGGATAAAAATTAATAAGGGTGTGTGAAAGTAAAATAGGGTGTGTGAATAGCACTACTTAAATTTTTTTTTTTTTTTTTTTTTTTTTTTTGTCGAACTCAAAATATATTATCTAGGTTAAGCGTGCATGAATCATTAATGCATCCATGCCTTTCTATTATTTTCTATGACATTCAAACGTATTATAGTTCAATAATACAATCAAATAATGTCATTGATGTCATTGATGGCAAATAATATTTGGAGAGATATTGATTATGTATGTGCGTACGTGATTACCGTTTTTTTCGTTAATTTATTTCGTTTATATGATATTATTATCGAAAAGAAGGTTTAGTAGGGCATATCTTGATACTATTTGACCTACCATATATTCTCCTAACAAATAACGTGTACGCAATGGACGGCTCCAACAAATGGTGATGGAGCAACATGGTCCATTAATTGGAAGAGCAGTTAGCTCCCTTTGCTAGACTTATAAAACGTCGGTGGAAAACTGGAAAGTGGAAAACCCTACTTTAATTTATTAATTAGGAGATGCTTAGTTGTTGCTAATGCCAGAATAATTTGTTTTCAGCTACTTATATTCAAACTAGATAGTATCTGTAACACATTGTACGTTTTAATAGAACAATTCTTGGTACATACTCACATATCATGTGGCTGTGCTCTCTTCTCATTCAAGTTTTTCTTGTCACAAAGAGAGGTCGAGGAGCTTAGGCTAAACTCGAATTTTGGGTTATAAGTGTAAAGGTAAATGCTCTATTACCGAAGCTAAGTAGGGAAACGATTTTCTCGACTTGAATATCATTTCAGTAATGGTTGTGTTTTGTTGCATCTTAATTTCAATCACAAATGTTTTCTGTGTTGGGCAACCAAAAGAGTCGTAGGGGAGTTTCATATGTAATTAATCGTTTATCCCATGCAAAAGTAATTAAGGAAACGCATCAACTGATCAACATTTGGACCACGTAAATGTTTATTTTTTGAAAAATCGAAAAAACATGATTAACATTTGAGAAGAGAAATACTTAAAAGACTAAACACCAGCCAACTTGCAGAATTAGTTGGTATTAGAGTGATTTTTTTTTATCAACATGTAGATTTGTTAGATTATGGAGCCAATAGGGTTTGAACTCATGCTATAGCGTAAGAGCAACACTCTTCTTAATCATTGTGGTTAAGGGCAACTTGCAATACTAGAGTGATTGATATATATAATTGGGCAAAAGACTGTTTACTACCCTCATGTTTTGTGGTTTTCAACATTTAGTACATCAATTTTTTTTCGTTCCAGAGTCATTCCTAAAGTGTAAATTTTGGGACAGTCTTATACATCTGTTAGTCAAACTGTTAATTCTGCCGTTAAATGATGACATGGCGCCCACGCGAACAATGACTGGGCGCCAAGTGTCATTAAAAAAATTAAAAAATAATTAAACTATTAAAATAATTAATTAAATAAAAGTTATATATAAATTTAAAAAAAAAATCCCCAGATTCTCTCTTCCCCACCCTGATCCCCCTCCCTTCTCCCTCTGCACCTCTGCACATCCTTCCCCCTGTGGACCTCTGCTCATCCATCCTTCCCCAGGTCCCTCTACACCTCCATCCTTCCCAGAACCCCTTCGTCTTCCGCAACACACACACCCACAACCCTTCATCTTCCTCCACGGCTCCACCCCTCCACCTCCTCCTTGTCTTCCTCCACGGCTCCACCCCCTCCACAACCCCAGCGTGGGCTCGCCCTCCAACCGCAGTGAGTAGAGAAATTGAATTAAAAACCCACTTTTACCAAAAATTGGATAATCCAAACAATGGGGAAACGAATATGAGAATCATGATCTATCCATATATTTAAATTCCACACATTTAACCTCAAGTCTAACAGATCTTATCCTCAACGATCAAAACGCACTTGGAGGATGATAAATCAATTCAATCTCTGAAAAATACTCAATCAATCACAAATTTTCACCAAAAAAAGATTAAGGTTTGATGCAATAATAGCTTTAGATCCAAATATCATAGATTAATTAGGCATAATAAGAACAAAAGGGAAAGAGAGAGAGAGAGAGAGAGGGATCTGAGAACGAGACCATCGCCGTCCTTGTCGAATAGGTTGAACGCCTCCTAGAACACGGAGATCTGGTCGTCGATGAGTTGATCGGCCATCGTTGAGAGCGTTTGGCTTCCGAGAAAATCACAGAGAAAGTGTTCAAAATGAAAAGGAAAATATGTCTGTTGCGCCCTAATAAGACCTGAAGCAAAAAGAAAAGGGAGGGAAGGAAGTGACTGACCCAGCGGCGCCTTGGGAGTTAGCGTCATCGCCGTGAACGTCGAGATGGTTCAATCGAAGAAAACCGTTGTCGCCGGTAGGCGTGGGCATGGTCTACTCACTGCGGCTGGAGGGCGAGCCCACACTGGGGTTGTGGAGGGGGTGGAGCCGTGGAGGAAGACGAGGAGGAGGTGGAGGGGTGGAGCCGTGGAGGAAGACGAAGGGTTGTGGGTGTGTGTGTCGCGGAAGACGAAGGGGTTCTGGGAAGGATGGAGGTGTAGAGGGACTTGGGGAAGGATGGATGAGCAGAGGTCCACAGGGGGAAGGATGTGCAGAGGTGCAGAGGGAGAAGGGAGGGGGATCGGGTGGGGAAGAGAGAATCTGGGGAATTATTTTTTTAATTTATTTATAACTTTTATTTAATTAATTATTTTAATAGTTTAATTTTTTTTAAATTTTTTTAATGACACATGGCGCTCAATCATTGTCCACGTGGGCACCACATCATCATTTAACGACAGAGTTAACAGTTTGACTAACGGATGTATGAGACTGTCCCAAAATTTACACTTTAGGTATGACTCTGGGACAAAAAAAATTGATGTACTAAATGTTGAAAATCACAAAATATGAGGGTAGTAAATAATTTTTTGCCCTATATAATTTGACTAAAGACAGTTTTAAGCAGACCGAATGCATAATTTCATAAAGGTGAGGTGGTAAAACGGTTGTATTTTAAAGCTACTACATGTTTATTAATAGAAAAGTGATTTTCACATATTTTTTTCTCTTCATTTTTTGTACATATTTCCGGCCATTGTGTGTAGCTTGTTAATTAATTATATAGTGAATACGACTGTAAATAAAAAGAGATGCGAGATGCTAAAATAAGTATAAAAACCAACTCCCTTACCTGAAAGTTTAAACTAACCATAATAAAGTCAAAGCATTGTAAATGACATCTGACAATGATTTTCATCTGTGAAAACGAAAAACATAGTTCCTACGGTGGCTTTTGACTAAAACGAATAAAAAATAACAAAGCAAAAACAAAATATTTCTCATCACGTAGTTTATTATTTTCATCTTATTCATGGATCATGGTAAAATTTGTCATCTTCTAACTCTAAACATATGTGTATGTAACAATATTGACTACAATAGATGTGATACTTATCCACTTTCGATTAAATTAGATTAAAATAAAATTATTCTTTGAAAAAATGTCACGACTCCACCTACCAAACCATTCCCAATTACCTAGTTATGGAACTCATTTTTTAATGGCTTAATCTAAAAAATAGACCACTACTTAATGAAAAGTCAAACACCCCAATTTACAACTAATTCATTGACATAACCAAGCTACATTAAGGTTAGGACCAACCCTAATTATAAAAATCTTCAAATAAATATGCCAAAATTAATTTCGTCCAAAAGTTTGATTTGACAATTTATTATTCAATTTTATTTTATTGCTAAAGTGTTTAATTTATTTATTTTGATTTTTTTTGTCGAAGTTATTTAGTTTGATTAACCAATTCAAATAAATTGAATGAAAAAGAAATGGTACGGCCACGGCCGTCTAGAGCCCTCCTGTTGTTCGTTAATCCGCAAAAAGCTGGTGGAAGTCCGTCTGCCCTCTTTCGTCGCATTTCTGGGATTTCCCGCGAAAACTGCCGGTTTTTAACGTCCTCAAATTACTATCTTCGTTTCTGCTCTCACTTTATACAAGAACCAAAAAAAACAACACAGGAAACAAAAAAAAAAATTAAAAAATTAAAAACCCCAAAAAATAAAGAGGCTTTGTCCACTTTTGGCGGGAATTCACTCTCTCTCGAAGACATTTTTTCTTTGAATAACAACCAATTGTGTATGTAAGCTTTTTTTTGTCAGATTAGAACTCGTTTCTGTTAATATTTATTTATTTGAATTTCTGGGTGTTGAATTTAGCTGCAGTCGGTGAGGCTGATGATGCTTACTTGGCAGCATTGGCTTTTAAACAACGTGTTTGGATTGAGCCACGAGTTGGTACAAGATTTAGGTACATGTTTCTTTCTCTTTTTTTTTCCTTCTTTTTATGTTTTTGTCGGATCACGTTTATCTTCTTCTTTATTCTGCTTACTTTTCTTCCTTTATTTATGTCAGCCGATGTTTTTTTCTTTTATTTTCAAATGGGATTTCTTGGAATTTTATAAATCTGCCATCTGTGGATGGGATATTTGGGTTTTTCTAATTTTATGTAGCTTTTGCTGCGGGGGTTGAAATGTTAAATTCAAGAAGTGGGAAGATTGAGAAACAGAAAGAGTTTGTAGAAATTGTGAGATTGTGAGAAGAGAGAGAGAGAGAGAATCAGAGGCATAAAAACATATAAAGAAAATGATACTTGAGGAGGCATTGAGGGACTTGATAAAGAAGAAGAATAAGAAGAAGAATGTTGTGTTGGTTGGGATTCCAATTGATAGCCAGAGCACAGAGCTTCTCGGATGGGCTCTCGTTAAAGTCGCCCAGCCCGGAGATTGCGTGATTGCAGCTCATGTCTGTCGAAGTTCTGGTAAATGCCTGCAGACTTAGTTTCAGTTTGATATATTTTTCGATAATTTTATGTGTAATTTGGTTTATATTAGCTATTCGGATTGTTTGACAATATAACATGCGAGACTATTTGGTGACGTAACGTTTAATATGCACAGATTATGTCTCGAAAGCCAAGACGATGTTGGATGGTTACGTAGAGGCTTATGAGGGGCTATGTGACATGAAAAAGGTTCCTACTCAATCTTCACTACTCTATCACTGCTTCAATTGTTCCAAAACTTGAGACTGGTTATGGATTTTTATGCTTAAAATTTCAGGTGGAGCTCATCAGTCAGGTCTTGACGGGAAGGTCAATCCGAAAAGCTCTAGTTAGAGAGGCGAAAAAACATTCTACCGTGGCCATAGTTGTAGGCATAAGCAATCCAAACACTCTTGGGTAGGGCACAGAGACTTTGATCTCAAAAAGAAACTTGCATTATTTTTCAAGTTTTTTTTTCTCATTACTCTAAGCAGAGTTCATTTGCAGCAGTTGGGATTCTACGGCGAAATTCTGCGGTAAGAAATTGGGACCAACCACTGATGTTGTGGGCATCCACAACGGGAAAATTGTGTTCAGAAGGTGCACCAGCAACCAACTACCAGGTTGGTGTTTTGAGTCCTGGAAAATACTGAGAATTATAAATTAATTAATTCTTTATTTATTTAATATTAAAAATGCACTAACAATACTAAGTTCCTTTCTTCAGCTTTGGTAGGTCTCACAGAAGACCCAAGACCAAGTCTTTGCTTTGAGAGTCTCACTCCCAAAGGATACTCATCTGAATTTGGTGACTTTGAGGCGGATACAGAAACCCCGAAATCTTCTAATATGGCAGAGGGCTCCCTAGATGGTTCGAAGCACAGTAGTGAAGACACGATGTATGAACAAAAGAGAGTGCCTTGGAGATCAACTTCACTTGGTGCAGCAGAACATGTGGTTAAGAACCTTGGCTGGCCCCTACTTCGAAGAGCGAGTTCTGCCAATCCTCAATTTCCCGCCACCAGGGACATGTCTGTGGTGCAATGGGTGATGAGCTTGCCTGACCGCTCTCCACAGCAGTCTCCTCAGTGTACAACTATCAAAGAAAATCCGTTCGAACGAAGTATAGGTGACATTATTGATGAGAGTATGGAGGATGGTTTTTCTGCTTTTGATGAGCTTCCTGAAAGGTTAAAGCATCTGCTCCAAACAAAATCATCTGGTTGCAGATGGTTTAGTCATGAGCTTCTAAAAGCTTCAACTTCTCAATTTTCTTCAGGTTTGATATATATCCTTTTCCCTTCCTTCTCTCTGTTTGGATTCTTTTAAGTACTTCTGTTTCGAATAACTTCTTTATCTTTTAACAGAAAATCTTATCGGGAAAGGAGGATGCAACCTCGTCTACAAGGGAACTCTTTCAGATGGGAAGCCAGTGGCAGTGAAGATTATGAAATCATCCAAAGAAGCATGGAAGGATTTCACTGATGAAGTCGATATCATGTCCTCGCTGAAGCACAAAAACATTTTACCTCTGCTCGGGTTCTGCATCAAAGACAACGTTCTAATCTCTGTGTATGATTTCTTACCTAAGGGAAGCTTAGAGGCAAATTTACATGGTAAATATCAACTACTTTTCCCATTTTTTTACTTTCTTGGTAAAGATTGTTCAAACCATGTTGATTTCAAAATTGTAAGTGATGCAGGCAAGAACAACTACAAATCTCTATTGTCATGGGAGGTGAGATTTAATGTTGCTGTTGGTATTGCTAAAGCCCTCAGTTATCTGAACAACGAATGTCCTCAACCAGTTATTCATAGAGATGTCAAGTCCTCAAACATTCTTCTCACCAAAGATTTTGAACCGCAGGTACTGCTTAATCAGAGTAACACAAATGGTGTTTTAAACACGATCAGAGTCTTATGACATTAATTAAATGCTTCCATCTACGTGACAGTTATCTGATTTTGGCCTTGCAATCTGGGGACCAACAGCTACATCTTTTAAGACCGAATGTGATGTGGTGGGAACATTTGGTTATCTTGCTCCCGAATATTTCATGTATGGAAAAATCAGTGACAAGATTGATGTCTATGCCTTTGGCGTGGTCCTGCTAGAATTATTATCAGGAAGAAAACCAATTGGCTCCGAGACACCAAAAGAACAAGAAAGCTTGGTCATGTGGGTATGATCCACCTCCCTAATTTGAATTTTTGTTCTTATTTTGTTTACTTCTTTTGCGTGTTTTGGATAAATGACGCTGAATTACATCTCAGGCAAAGCCGAAAATAGAGAAAGGTGATGTAAAAGAAATACTGGATCCAAATTTGGATGGAAAGTTGATGAGGTTCAGGTGCTGAGAATGGTTCATGCAGCAAAACTTTGCATCACACGCTCAGCCCGCCTTCGTCCTAAGATGACTGAGGTATGAAAATGTCATATCCAGAGTAGGATTCTGTTAGTATTAGTGTAACAAAAGAATTCCAAGTTTCATCATGCTCTTTCTTTCCACCCTCAGATACTGAAGCTTCTGAAAGGGGATTCAGATGTCGAAAATCAACCAAACTCTCAATCTTTTGACATAGAGGAATCAGAAAACTGGGATGATAATGACGATGAAGTTTATCCAAATTCGAGCGCAGAGTTGCATTTGGGTCTTGCGCTGCTCGATGTGGATGATGATACAACAACAACATCGTCAAGTAGCGTGGAGCGGAGCAACAGCCTTTCATGGGAAGAATATTTGAAAGGGAGATGGAGCAGATCATCAAGCTTTGATTAGCTTCTTTTTCTACTCCCCTGTTTTGTAAGTTTTCAGCATACTTGTGCAGCAAGGAAATTAGCATCTGTACAGTTTAGGGAAACCAAAAAAAAAGGCGTGCACCCAATGGTTGGGGTGGATTGTAGATAAACATGTATAAATAAATCGTAGAAGTGATCGTGTGAAAGGATCAACATCTGTAGCATGTTTCATTAGCTTGTCAGAAACTCAGTTTTTCCAGCATAATCACAGAATGAGAGATTGAGATTTTGTAGATTTTGGAATAATAAAATTTGTTGCTCATGTAGCAGGCAGCCTATGGGGCTCAGATGCTAAAGTTATAGAAAGATCTTTGGTTACTACTAGTTTTATATTTATGTGATGCTCCATGCTCTCGCAGACACTTAAATGCATTAAAAATTGAGTGTAAATAATGTATAACAAATGGCTGAAATAATTGTAGAACAATTGGAAAAACATAAAATTTGTAGCAAAGCCCAAGTACTTCAAATTTGGGCCATGACCTCCCTTTTGGAGTGTGGTGTCACGAACAAGACGCAAAGCTTTGCCCTTACATATGGGCACTTTTGGATTTCGACCGAATTTATTGTTTACTAGCCCAAAACGGCCTTTTAAGTTTCGAAGATATTTTGTTCTTTTCTCATTTTTCATCCCCATAGAATTCCTAGCAAACCTTATCTTATTATATTTAGATCAATAAGTTTAGGTTCTCTCAAATACCTAGTGATATCTAAATTGCTTGTAGATTCTAATTTATGGTATTTCGTTCGATATTCGTGTTTAACTTATCACGCTATACTAAAATGGAAGTTGTGTAACAAAATTTGCAATGTAAGTCAGATAACTGAAAATTCAAGTTTTATACTGGAATCTGATTTCAACAAAAAAAAACTACGTACACAAACTTAACGCACGAGTTTCTCGCACTAATGCCTAAAAGATTGTTGTATATGGATCATTGGATAATAGTATAAACCATCAATGCTAGCACTAGCTTTTTGGATTCCTTAGCGGCGCCTTATCAAAGAGCCGATCGTCACACTCAGTAGTGTTTTGAGTCTTCAAGGGAGGAGGAACCCAATTCGAAGTTAGCTCTCGAAATTGCGACTCGATCTGCATAAAACTGCTTTCCCTTTGTCTGCTAGAGAGCTTTCGATTGACACACGGTTTTTTTAGTTGAAGAAGACATGGCAAGAGAAGATCAAAGTCTGCATTGTTTTCCCTTGTCTTCCTCTTGCTTGTCTTATGGTTCTTTCTTTCACCCTCGGCCTTCTCCTTTCGTGTGTCCTTCATCTGCAGAGTAGTACACGATGCGGACATCATTGTCAAACCTTTGAACTGAGGAACTAGATGGAAGAAGCAAGAAAATAATCAGGTCTTAATTTCTACTTTATGGTTGCTTTGGTGTATGGCTTCGGAGCAAATTGCTATGGTGTTATATATACTTTCCTATTTCTATTTGGATTAGGATTAATTAGTCTGTCCAATTTTTATTTGGATTATGATTTATGAGAAACAAATTTGTAGTTGTGTAACACAAACTGGCAGTGCAAAATACCAGGAGAAATTTTTTGAAAAAAAACATGAGAAAAATAAATTTCTTAATTAATTAAATAAAACAAACCTAACTTAGGTGCTTTTTGAAAAAGCACTTTCAATTACTTTTTCAGAATTTACAATTTTAATTCAAGTTTCAATATATTTATAATAAACACATTTCCAACATAAGCACTTTTCATAGAAGTGATTTAAACGAGTCCAAGCAATGCAGAAAATACATTTTCCTATTGTAATTGTGTTTTGGAACAAGAACTTGTCTCTGTTGGTTTCGTATATAACACAAATTTGAAGAATGTGGAAGGATAATGTTGGTTTCTCAGCTTCTTGGGTCCCTTCCCTCGCTCTCCAGATCAGACCTAGTAAGTTCAAACAAGCTTAATCTTCAAAACAATTGGACATCAAATCATAATTTGCCTCCATTCAGCAGTATCATCAGTTCCAGCCTTGTCTTTACTTTTGATCAAGGAGTAGGATTCCTTCGTTCATAATTTCCCTTTCCTTTCCTTTTCACCTTTTTAAACAATTACGATTGAGTCACGTCAATCAAGATCGCCTTGAGGGTAATCCATGTAGGTGCCCACCTAGGGCCTCCACTTCGGAGAGGCCCCAAAACATATACATCATGTAAATAACATATAAATAAAGAAAATAAATAAGAAATATCATAATTCATTTGTTAGTTGAGTGGAAATGTTTGACTTCCATTTTCTTTGAGGTGATGGGTTTGAAACATGAAGCTGTTTTTTTAGTCATTAATTTTTTCTTGTTTTTCAAATTTACTCATAATTCTTCTGTCCAAATGCATATAAAGTTATATAACACAAGTCCCTTAGCAATCTATTTTTCTTTCAACTTCTCAATCTTTTCATTTCTATCAAATGTTTTAATCAACTATCACATGGTCTTGAAGATTGTTCTTTAAGATAATAAAAATTTTGAATTTATATTTTACTTTTCAATAGTTTATTATTCAATGGATTATTTTAATATTCGATTCGTTAGTGTGATGCTAAGTTACACTAAACAAACAATTGATGCTCTTGACTTTATTATACTCGTCAATCAAGTTTTATTGTTTTTAACTCTCTTGATCGTTAAGTTTTATTGTTTTTCACTTTTAATCTAAGGCTATTGACGGTAAACATTTGACACATTTGCTTAAAAAATGTAAGATGTGTGATATTCAAGTAATATTTGTATATCTATCTTCTTTTTATGGTACTTTAATAATATTTGGTGTAGAAATATTTTTTTTTTATTGATTTAGTGAATTCTTTTCTTACATATCAATGTGCAAAAAATCATCTTACATATCAATGTGCAAAAAATCAAGATCCAAGAACTTTCCAAGAACTTTAGAACCCACTTCAAACCAAATTCTCGAACACGGTTTCGAAAGAGAGTCGAGGCATTTGAGAGTCAAGACGGTCCGACTCACTTTCGAAAGAGAGAGGTTGGCGGAATCTCTGAGCCACCGGCCAATCCCAATCCGTGGTATGTTCATCTTTCTGATATTTTCTTCGCGTTGAATGCTCCCATGTTTTCATCTCTAGGGTTTTCTCTTCCTTTTTCCCACCGCCTCTCTGTTCCCTAGGGTTCCTCCATTATTTTATATCTGCCACAGAACTTCAATCGCCTTGAATAGTTCTACGATTTCATCATTTTACCCTTTTGAATTGTCCCTACTGTTAATCGTCCGCGCTGGAAATCTTTCGTTTTCAGCCAATTCTAATCGATTTTAGATTTTGGGTTGTTGAATTCCTATCTGGGTCATGATTGATTCGGTGGATTTCGCTCTTTTCGTGCAGAACGGGAATCAAGAACCTCAAATTTTCATCTGGGTTTCTCTGATTTCAGTCTGTTAAGATTATCGCGCTCGAAATTTGGTCTGGGTCGAGGCCAAGTTTTGAAATTTTGGTGCTTTTTCACTCGATTGGAGCTTATTCCTCTTTGGTCTTCGCGTTATTCACCCTAATGGACGACCAGGAGGTGTTTCCGGGTGCAAACATGGGCGGTGAACTTGCGAGTAGTTGCTCAATGGACAGCTTCTTCGATGACCTGCTTAAGGACACTCATGCTTGCACTCACGCCCACACTTGCAACCCACCCGGCCCTGATTACTCCCACACACACACTTGCTTTCATGTGCACACTAAAATTCTGTCTTCAGCGAGTGAAGACAAGGCCGGAACTGATGATACTGCTGAGTCTGGGGAAAAGAAATCAAAGAAGCAGCCTTTGGGTAATAAGGTAGCAGTTCGTAAGTACCGCGAGAAGGAGAAGGCGCGGGTTAAGTTGTTGGAGGATGAAGTTGTGAATTTGAGAGCTGAAAATAGGCGGTTGGTGATGAGGTTGCAGGGTCAGCCTGCATTGGAGGCTGAGATTGCTAGGCTCAAGTGTTTGCTTGTTGACATTCGAGGAAGGATTGAAGGAGAAATTGGATCTTTTCCATATCAGAAATCAGTGAATCCGAGCCTGCCCAACCCAAATATGCCCAGTGCCATTTTTATGAATCCGTGTAATGTCCAATGTGATGATCAGCTTTACTGCCTTCGTCCAGGGATGGATGGGAAATGTGGAGATGGTGCAGTGATGAATGGGCAGGATTTTAACGGCTGTGGTTTTGAGAGTCTTCAGTGTTTTGCTAATCAGGATGGAGGAGCCAAGGAGCTTCCTGATTGTGGACTTGGAAATGGGGTGTCGAATGTCAATTCTTCCGGCACAAGTAAGAGGAAAAGTAAGACATAAGATCCCTTAACCTTGTAACCTGTATGGGCGTATGGTTATGACTATTTTGCATTTGTTAGTCGGCTAAATGGAGTTATTTTTCTGATTTTACCCTTCTATTTGTTTTCTGATATTTGTTGCTGGTTCTGCTGTTTTAGTTGTGTTCTCTGTAAGCATTTTAGTTGGGTTTTAACCATGAGAGATTTTGAAATGTTGATATATACAGAACTTGTCTCGTGAGTCTTTTGTGCATTGTATAGATGGGTCTTCGGGGCACTACATCTAGTTACAAAGGATTAATTTCATTGAGCAATGATGGACAGATCATTGTTTATATGACCAAGTCATCTATAATAATTCGGTAATTGCAAAATTTGGCATGCATGAGCCCTTTATTACCTAACATAATATGAGCCAAAGTAGTAGTATTTACATTATTAATTGTCTACCTCCCGTGCAAGTTGCTGAAGATTATTCTTTTGTTGTCCTTGTCCATGAAATTAATGGACCTGAACACAGCTGTTTGGAACTTGGAAGTGTGCAATTTTTAACTGATTATTATGTTCTGCCCAATTAGGAGGGACTCGTGCCGCAGCAGCAAACTGAAGTGCTCAGGAAGGAAGCACTGACATTGTCCCAAAGAGTACATATATCGTCATGCAATAAGTAGTTCTTCAAACTGTAGCATCAGCTTTCATTCAGGTCATTTTGTGTTTATGGTTATGTTTCCAAATTTTCTATTACTTTTAACATGTTTGGTTCTTGGAACAAGTATGGTTTATCAATGTCAAGCTGAAGTTTTGCTGGATTTGCTGCTAGTATTCTTCAAATTTTGATTTGAGTTTGCATGTCCTTTAGTGCTGTAAACTTAGATGATGTATAGCCAGCCAGTGAAACTTATGGCAAAGCAACTTAATGGTATTCTATGAAACTCATATTCTCTTGACTCTTAGCCTTCTAATACTTGTAGGCTACTGATATATCAGTCAAATTACCTCTGGCTCATGTTGTTTTTCCGAGTTTCATTTAATCTGCTTTAAGTAGTTCTCGTTTAGTCATTCCTGCTCTTTCTAAGACGCATAAATTCTTGATTGCTGAATTACAGAACTTAGGGAAGGTGGCATGTGATTTCTTTCATGTTTCAGTACTATGAGCTGCGAGCAGGTGAGTGTTAATGTAAAGTTTCTCTGCATAATATAACTTAAAGAGCGGGTTTTGGTAAAAAGGAATAAAGTATACATTTATGTCAGGAAAGAAGCTTCTTGTTCTAGCTCTTAAGTTTTTTTTTAAAAGGATTCTTGTCATCCACAATTGGTGACTGACTAGTGGACAAATTTCACAGTATATTCCCCTTTGAGTGATGCATCTGGCCATTGTGAAGGTCAATGGAAACCCTATTTCCACCATTGGCGTGAAAAATGACGAGGACGTCCGTAGGTTCATTGCCTGCCTTTTGATGGTCAGTCAGATGATGAGAAGAATGTGCTTCTGCTAACCAACCCACCCATTGAACTGATGGTGAATTTCTTATAGTTCTTTTTCATTTATATTATGGGTAGATTTTTAGTCCAAGTATTTGAGCATTTGGTCCAAGTAACCTGATATTCATCACGAGGAAACGAACATTATAAAGTTTCTCCTTTTTGTTTCCATTCTTGTCGGATGATTGATTTGTGAATGAGGGAAAAGGATTTAAAGTGGTGGAAAAGATGATATTTTGAGAGTAATTGCTAGGAAGAAGAAGATTGTTAGAATTTATTTCATGTGCTGTTCATAGAAAGGGAGATGGTTTGGCATCTTTCCTGACAGGGACAGGAACGGCCTTCAGGCTTACCAACTCTTGTGGTGGTGGTGGTGGTGGATCTATAACCTAACTTTTACTTCTTCCGCTTATACCGACCTGCTTTTGGAATTAAAATTAAGTTTCCTCTTTGTTCTACCTCCTATTCCCCTTCTTTGTTTCTTTCTTGATCCAATATTAACCCGGCATTTTTGTTAACACGGTACACCCGCCTCCCGTTGATCTGAGCTCATCAAGACTGTTTATTTTCGGGTAATATTGTTACACAAGTCCAAGAAAACTCAAGTCGGAAGGGATGGATGTTATGAGTGTCGAATTTTACTGTGAAGATATTCATCTTTGTTGGTAGGTGAAAGGATAATTCCTTTTGTTTTCAATACCAGGTCTTTTGTTTCTCTTTTTTACGAGCGACCATGGTTTTATAAGGTAGGTGCTTCATTTTTATGTGGAGTCCAAAAATAACGTCCGATTCGGAAATTTGCCTGCGATGTTGCATATAGCCTTGAGACGACCTTTAGGCCCAGTTTGTTATTGCTTATTTTTATAAAAAATGGTTCACTTTAAAGTTCAGCAGTAATAAAGTGTTTGGTAAAAATAAAATATATTGTTTTTTAAAAGCAATTGTCTCCGAACAGCAGCTTTTAAAAACATCTTGTAGGTTGCTTTTGAAAGTTGCTTTAATAAAAAATGAAGTAGAACTTTTATAATATTTTTAATTCTTGTAATAAGCTCATTAATTTTAAACAATGATATTATTTATCATTTTAGACATTTTTTATGCCTTGCAATCATTAGCCAATATGCTTTCATCCTAGGCATGGTGGAAATACACCAATCCATCCTCAAGTGTATACGAGTGAATGGTCTTAATCAACTGGGCTATGAGCTCCTAGCACTGAAATACGTAACGTTTCTCGATTACGGATGCATAAAGAAAACGAAACTAGTTGAAGGTTTAATTTAACGTCATTAAAATCATGCGAAAGAGATTAACCAAGGAGGAGAAAATCAAAGTTTGGCAAACCGATTATCCAACAGCAGTTTCTGAGAAGCTACATGCTCTTCTACTCTCATAATCTATCTCTAGAAAGTCTTAAACACTGCTCCTAGCAAAGACCTTTCCCACTAGCCAAAGAGGTACGAAAAATATCTTCAAGCTCACGGTCGAGATTTTCTGATTACACACAGGAAGGTTGGGCTTGCACGTCATCGTCGTCGTCGCCAAATATGCTGTCAGCAATCTGCCAAACCTGAAGAGTGTTGTCTTCAGAAACGCTTGAAATGACCCATGGCTCATTTTTGTTCCAAGAGAAATCAGATATCTTTGCTTTGTGACCGCCATGTACAAAGAGAAGTTCTGGTGGTCCGTCATCCCCGTCTCCCTCTGCCTGCTCATCCCCAATCCTAAAAACGCATCAACCATATAAGTTCATAACTTAGTACGACAATGATTTGAATTTTTAGCCCCAAGATATAATTCCCAATAATGTTCTTGCAATCAAATGAAACAGAAATGGACTTTTGACACAGAAGATAAACGGAAACAGAAGCATTTCTAACAGAACTAGTCCGAGAAATGGAGTACCTGTTGAGGTCCCAAACCATCAACCTTCTGTCATCAGCGTACGATGCCAACACAGTTTCGTGATTAGGATCCCATTCAACCTGGAATACTTCCTCCCTACAAGAACAAATAGAGGATTAGGAATCTCGGTTTAACGACTGTGACCTGCAAACGCTAATATATGAGAAACGATGAAGACTCCAACAATATGTTTTCTTGACATGAGAAAACTATGCCCAAATGCATAATATGAGTAGCCACTATGCATTGATAATTCCAAAATTTATTCATTTGTTGACAAAGGGTTCATGCTTCAATTATATTAGCACAGCAAGTCTTAGTTTCAGGAATTTCTACTGCACAATATATTAAGAATCTAAGGAAGTGCAGACTGGCCGTCAAATTAAGTGCGTCACTTGTAACAAACAAATGAGAAATTGTAAAACAGTAGCTTGAGGAATCGGGCTACTACATCAAGCTCAAAATTATGGTTTCATGTACTTCAAAGCCAAAAGAATTCATAAAAACTTGCCAATCGTGTCATAAAGAATAGGTATCATTAGCATAATGTCGATATACGCTTGATGAGAAGAAATGATGGTAGTATATAATTGATTTTACAAAGAGGACAACGGGGGATTTGAAAGCTTACCCGTGAGTACTCAGAACATGCAATGGCACTGTCAGATTTCTCATATCGAACAGACCAACAGTGGTGTCTGAAGATGCTGTGGCCAAAATCCATTCATTAAACGGATTGAAAGAAAGATAATTTACCTGAGATCATTAGACAAATGAGAATGGAAATTTACAGAACATTAGTGACAGATGTGAAGCTACATAATTAATACTTTTCTTTCAGCATATACAAAAATCAGTGACAGAAGTTATTACTCAGTCTGTGTAATTCAAAGGGGTAAGTATTTCGGGAACAATAAATCTCACAAACATATATTGAAAAGCCACAATCATATAAATGAAATTGTTGTAGTCACCTCTTTCTCATGAGCTTTGACACAATGCTGGGTTTGGTTTGTGCGCAAGTCCCATATCATCAACTGACAATCATCCCCAACAGATCCAAACAAATTCTCGTTCTTCGGATGCCACGATACATCTCCAACCACACTCTCATGACGCTGAAGAAAACCATCCAGAATTCACACATTCAAAACACTAACAGCCCAATAGCCAAAACATGCATAAGACATTTCAAGAACTATTAAGTTTTTAGTCCCAAAATTACCTCATAAACGTGGATTGGATCAAGCACCTTCTCTTGAGCCGAAGCAGAAACATCCCACAAGCAAATTTTACAATCATATGAACCACTCAAAAGGTAACCCTCCTTCAAAAAGCTCCAAGACAGGCCATACCCTTCTTTGTCATGACCCCTTAACCTCAAATCAGGATCACAGGCTTCCTCTTGATGCTTCTTTCCTTCTTGTTTGGAACAATCAAACACATATACATCCGTACCGCTGGTCTTTGCACCCACAATAGTCGGCTTCTGCGGCATCCATCGTGCCCTATTCACTTCCCCAAACACCCGAATCTTCTGCGTTATTTCCACCTACAACCACACCAAGCACAAATGCAAACATTGTCAGCCAGAAATTTTAACATACAGTTGGTGCCCACAAAATATTTCTGACAAAATTCCGACTACCCACGATTCATTTCTTCAAATTAATAAGAACCCACATCATACTCTGGAAATCTTAAGAAACACTTGGTACCCCAGAAATTATTTATATGAAATGAGTGAAAAGGACCGATCTTTCAGTACCTTAGGCATCACAGGGTCAGTTTCGGAAATGGCGCCAAAGTTGGGCTGGGATGTGGGGAGGAGGGCGTCGGCGACCATGAGAAAGTTGGGGTAGTCATCGGAGGTGTGGGTCCCAAGAACGAGCTTGTGGACGGCGAGGGAAGAGTCGGTGTGGGGCTGCGGCGCCGAGGGAGCCCAGTGGACGGTGAGAGACGGCCATTCGAGAGGGTGAGAGATGATAAGGTCGTAAAGGAAAGGGCTGTTCTTCTTCCAGACGGCGTACTCTTCCTCTAAGACAGCTGAATCTTGGTCCTGGTCTTCCGCCATGGGTGCGGCTGTCACTTCGAGCTCTTTCGCTTTTCTGCTTCTTTCTGATTTTCCCGCCAAATGTTGGTCTGAGACTCTGAGTGAAGGAAAGACTCGGGTCGATGGGAAATGTCAAGGGTTTATAATTGGGATGATTTAATGGGCTTTTATGTGGCACAACGGGAGCAATAGAAGCCCATTTTGTGGGGACCATTTTTGCACTTACAGTTAATGGGTGTACTTACGTTGATAATGTCTCTTATCACATTTGTTTGTGTTGCCAAACATTGAGTATGACCCTATATATTGAATTACGAAGTATATTATCGATAGTTGATATTTAAACGGATAATTTGACAGCGAGTATTTTTCTCTAGAACTTAATATTTATATATTGAATTACAAATTATATTATTAATAGTTGAAATTCTAGAACTTTTAAACGAGTCATTGATCTTTCAGCCAATTCACAATTGGCTGGAGGTACTTGACCCCAAGACATTGACGGTTGTTTGCCAATCACATACTATTCTCCCCAAGAAGTTCAAGGACAGTTGCGTTATTTGTCACTATTTTGAATTTAGGTAAAAGGTTGCGCCTAATTTTCGGCAGGCATATACATTATCTTAAGGTTATTGAAGCTATTAATCATTTCAACACTGAATTCCAGCCCTTGAAAACGAAGTGCCATCTGCGATTGCTTCCATACTTTAGCTCGTTTCAATTAAGTAATCATTGTGGGTAAGTGCGTTGTATGTTTTCTTAGGTGCCAAACAACTTTTTCAACTGCCCTCAATCATTCATCCTAAATACTTAGGCAAGTTGCAACATGCCCAAAATTATTGTGTAACGTGACAAAACACGTAATATGACTTGACATTTTTTTTTGAAAGCCTACCGACCTAGCCCCTTTTTTTTATTTTTATTTTTCAGAAGATTATCCAGGAACGAATTTGTCCAATTTAATTTATCGTTGTTTTTGTTTGATTTTTTTATGATAAAAAATGAGTAAATGTTTATAAACTGAGAATAATGGGTCTGATTAATCAAAAAGACCCAAGAAATTAAGAAATTAAAAATAAAGGAGATCAATCTACAACTAAAATATCTAAAATCTTTCATAACATCCAACAACTTGATATACAGTCATTAGACCAACACATACCCAATTTCACACTTTTGATTTCGCGACAAACCTAAAAAAAATATTAAAAAAGAATATGCAAAGCACACCTATGACATTGACATATCAAAAAACAAATTAAAACATTTTCTTAAAATTAAAGTCTAGATTCCACATGTCACGTCGCAAAAGTGACAGCTCACATGATAACGCACGCATCGGGGTTTTCATCGCTGAACGCCGTGGTGTAGCGCACTTCCGTGGAGCTCGCACGTGCGAGGTTCCTCATCTGCGGGTCCTGCGAGTTCCGCACGTACCCGGACGGCGCCTTCTTGTCGTACACTCCAGCGGCGTAAGGGTGCGCCACGACGTCGTATGGGACGTATGGCCAGAGCTCCACCTTCTTCCCCGTCCGATGCGCGACGCGCGCCAGCACCTTCCCCGGATCCACGTAGCCGACGACCGTCAGCTTGTGGGCCTTGCGCTCCACGTCCACCTGCGTTACGCCCTTCATTCCTTCCACCGATCTCTTCACCTTCCGCTCGCATCCTTCGCAGTCCATCTTCACCTTGATCTCCACCGTCTGATCAGACACAAAACAATTCCATGTATAAGTAAACTACATACGTGACATTGTACACGTGGCGATTGGGGAATGGATTTTTCTGGGTACTGTTCTTGGAGAAACAGAGACAGTAGGATGGAGCTCTAAAGAGTAAACGAAATGGATTTTATCCAACAAAAAAGTTATGAATCTAGAAAAAGAAAATGTTCGAGCTATTATGAACTAGAAAAGCAAAAAGCAGAAAAGGCTACAAAAGATAAATACTTATCTTCAGCTCCAATAAAAAAAAAGCCAAAAATACTTGTCAGATCTCAAAACCCACAAACATTATAAGTGGCAGATTAGCATTTTTGACAAGATCTACTGAGATTTAGTCCTGCGTCGCCTCGATTCGTGTTTTCAGCAAAAATTAAAAAAAAACTCAGAAATAGATAAAGGTTGAGAAGGAAAATATAGAATTACCTGGAATTGCCTGCGTTTCTTGAAGCTGGAACTCCCACCTGAGCAATCAAATAGATCAGAAAAATGATCCAAAACACCCATTTTGAACCCTTTTGGATTTCGAACAGAATTTTTTAGAAGATGTGAGAAAATAAGGACTCAAAAATATCTCAAAAGCTTTGGTTTTCAATTTTCGGAGAGGAAATAATTGGACCGGGTAAACAAGTGAGTAGGGTAGAGGGGTTGCTCCAATTTTATAAGCAAAAGCCTCTTGGGATATTTTGTAATTTTAAAATAATCTGCGTCGTCCGTATGCACCATCGGAAGATCTGGGTCGTCAGTTGCTGTCAGCTGTAGGCAGAAGGGTTTATCAATCTGCTTTCGCGACACGTGTCCTTAAGGCTCTGGTGTCGATAATCTAGTGGGGGGCGAATGCAACGATTAAGGACGGGGTGGACGAGGCTATCCACGCACCGGTCATGTGGGGCCCGGGGATTTGGGCGCGGAGTTGCTAGTGAGGCCCACATCATGAAGTGAATGGTCAGAGTGGGACCCGCTGTGTTGAGTCCTGTTAAATGGAGTGGTGGGACCGGAGGATCAATCTGATGGGGGAGGATGGGATCCCACAGGCTACAGCATGGCTAACCGTGTGTTCAAACCTGTTAAGGACAGAGCGGGGAACCGGGATCTTTCGTGCGTAGATTCGTGACAGTGTATGGATGAGTTCGGACTCCGAGACGGTGGTCCAACCGTCCAACGGCATATTTTGTTTTTCCCTTTTCTTTTCTTCTTTTTTGTGTTGAGAAATGTAATTTCGAGATAAATTATATTTAAAAAATCGTGACTCGGAGAAAGAGAACTGAATTTTGTGATTACATTGCACGAATACCATATGACTTATAAATATGTGCATTTGTCATACAAGACTTACTACAACTTTCGAAGTAAAACTTAAATTTTAAATTTTAAATTTATTTTAATCAGCTCTAATTTTCAACCAAATATAAGTTTTAATCGAAAACTTATTTTTGAAACAATTTTAGTCCAAAATGTTTTTAGGTGAGTGGGCTAGGCCACATATATGTGTATTTTGTTTTAGTTTTATATTTATAAATTCATCAAATATAACGATTACGAAATCTATCGATTCAAATTTAAATCCAAAAGCTAAAATAATTATAAAAAAAATCTTTCATTTGTTTCATATTCTTTCATAGTGTTCTATGAGTTTTATGGTTTCGGTCTAATGATTTTTCAATATTTATCGAAATCTAAATACTTTTAGGTTAAAATGTTCATAAAATTATCATTTAGTACTACGCTGTAGTGGTATTCTTCTTCACTTGGAAGTGAGAGGTCTTAGGTTCGAATCTCGTGGATGGCGAATTCGATACCAAATTAGGCTACCCATTGTATGGCTTAGCCTAACTCACATCCCCTTTAGTGTAAAAATATCAATGTACTAAAAAAAATTGTTCATAAAATTAAATTATGATAGTCTACATAATTGTTTTTAACAAAAATTTACTATAAGAAAAAAAAATATCCTAAATTAATTCTTTAAGAATCTCATGCTAAAGATTTAAGCCGTTTAAAACCTAAATTTATGGATTAAAAATTTTAGATTTTAACCCAAGGGTAGGAAATGGGTCTAAGTGAAGAAAATGTTTTGTTTTCAAGTTTTCTTATTTCTAAACTGGCAAATGGCCACACCTTCTGTGTATGAACAAATTTTTTGTTTTGTTTTGTTTTGTTTTTATTAAGAAGTGTGATTAGTTTTTAAAATTAAAAAAATATCAGTTAGGAAAATTGGACAATGATGAGCAGTTTCTTTTAAGTGAGCATGATGTTTTCATTTGTTATTTTATTCTTAATTTTTAAATACGGCATTCTATACTAACTTGGTTGTGAGGTTGCTGTAAAACAGAAAAATTTGTGTTTACGTAATTACTAAATTGCCCATATTTTTAATTTTTTTAATTTTGGTGAGAGAGTTAAAATAGTAATTTCATGGAATTCTAGTTGACAACGAGAATTTTATTAATAGGTAATTTAGATTAAAAAAATGAACACTAATGAAAATAATTTGAAAACTTTGAGTTTTAACGATAAAGACAAAATAAAGGGTAAAGTGAATAGTACCATGATTGACTTTTTATTGTAAAAATGTAGTTTTTTGTTAAAATGAACAGTACCAGAAGCTTTTTGTTAAAGTTCTCTAAAAAAAAGTATATCCTAGTTATGCAAAGCAGTAAATTTGGCCCAATTTTAGTTGGTGTGTGGTTGTGAGTAATCATTTATGTATACGGTAATGGATATTCCTCGTTTATTCTGATATTTGAAGGGCATAAAGAGTAATACTTGCAAACGGAAAGAGATCATCTCCGGATCTCTTCCACTAAGGTCATCAAATCAAATTATCCAGACCTTTAAAATTTCATTCAACGGACAAAAATTATTACACTTTTTAAAGTATCAAAACAGGTGGGTCGTTGGATGAAATTTCAAAGGCCCATATCACTTGATCTAGTGATCTTGGTAGAAGAGATGAGGAGAGGATCTTTTTCCCTTGCAAACAACTCCAAATAACTTCAAACACTCAAGTTTTGCTTGATCAATTGGAGAAAGTTTTCATTGTGACGGAAACATGGTACACTACTTATTTTTATATAAGTGGTGGAAAATTGTATTTTTTAAGTTATTAACTTATTAGCACACATATTCCACCATTGGTATAGTAACATGTGATGTACTACTCTGTGTTCCAGTCACACTGAAAAATCTCTTGATCAACTGCTCGGTTAGGCGTTCGAAATTAATTAAATCTGAGTGTTTGGATATATATATACATATATGATCTCGTTTAGTATAGGATTAAATTGGAATCAATAAGCCACTATTATCAAGGCATGTTAAACATAGAAATAAAACATTTGTGACCAATTTAAAGGTAGAAGATGAATTATTAAAGAAATTTCAATCCCCCCCAAGTGGTGATTATAAGATGGATTTTTTTTTTTTCGGTTTAATCCGTTTAAAAAAAAAAAATTCAACCTCATTTACATATTCAATATAGATTGAATTTAAAGAATGATTCGTTACAAATTAATGAGACGACGCCCGTAAGTAGTAGTTGATGATATAGCGCTAGGTAATGCTAGAAAGGCTAAATTTGGAGACAAAGTTTTGAAAACTAAAGGATATGAAAGTTGATGATTGGTTTATTACTTCAACGTTGATAATCGTACTTATTCCTATTAGTGACACATCATTTAGTTTGTAAATCTAGTCTTCAAATTTAGTTTTCATAACATTAATCTGTGCTTCCTTTTGTTGGAACACATGGTCCCATACTTGGCCACATTGAGGATACTACTCTGATCTGGTCCTTCCCACTTCATCTTCCTTTTGGACAGCATGCTTATACCACAGCGTCCAAAGTGTAGACTTGTTAAGCTTTAGCTCCTTTTAAGAGGGAGTTCATCTCGAAAAATGAAACTTTAAAGGGACAACAAATATCGAGACAGTAACAAGTACTGTACGATGTACCATATCAATTGGCTTATGTATACTATTCTAATTGCTAGCTTTTGTTTTGTGAAGGTATATATCAAGCAAACAAGGAGGCCTTGTTCACATCCTACACTCAGTTTAACGATCAAATATTCTAATCGCTAGCTGTTGTTCTGTTAAGAGGTATATATCAAGCGCACGAGGCATTGTTCACACCACACACACATTTCAACGACTAAATACTCTAATCGCTAGTTTTTGTTATGTGAAGGTGTATATAGCAACCGCACAAGGAGGCAATGTTCACACCACCCACTCATTTCAATGACCAAAATACTCTAATTGCTAACTTTAGTTTTGTGAAGGTATATATATCAAACGCACAAGGAGGCCTTGTTTCATCACCCACTCAATTTAATGACCAAATACTCCGATGTAATGAGTCATATATTCTTTCTTTTAACACGTAAACGTGTTGTATACTATCTTTATCATTATTCTCGTATACTTAATTATGCGAGTATTTGGATAAAAAAGAGAAGTGTATATTGCATGCAAGTTTCTCCCTATATTAACCATTCAATAAAGTAGCAAGTGGCTATTTATTACCTTGGTGGAAATGTGATGTGTCTTTACATGACGGTGTGTATTCGAATTCTATTAGTAGCTAATTTAACATCTAATCTAATAAAATCTATTATTTGACAAAAAAAACACACGAACCATTTAATAAAGTAGTGATATACGTTAATATGTGTACGTCTTTTTGGTTGATGGTTTGGGCTGTCTGTTGTTCTTAGTATTACACTGTGATGTGCGGAAATTTTTTAATTGTGATGAAAACACAAGTGATGCACCACGTTTTTTAATAGGAGTGGTGATAAATTTTATTTTTTAAGTTATTAATTTTTTAGCATACATATTTCCCTATTTGTATAATAACACATAGTGTATCATCTCATGTACCGATAACATTGCAAAATCTCTCGTGATTTGATTACTTGCTTGTTTACAATAAAGACGACGTTTCATGTTACCCGAAAAAAAGATGTCGTCTCACAGCTTTGAAAGCCTAATACTATTTTGTCGGATTAAATGTGATAGCTCAGCCATACATTATTCAAGCTCAGCCATACTATTTTGCGGATTAAATGTGAAAGCTCAGCCAAAGCCAGTGCCAGTAATACCTAAAGTCATCATCCGATTAGTTTTTAAAGTTTGGATTTATTTGTCTGTGGACTGAAAATATGCGGAAGTCGCATTCTGTCAGATTATCAAATAATTAACTTAATTAATTAAGGGTTTTCATACTATAATCTTCCAGCTGATGAAAATAATCATTAGGCTCTGCTGTCTGCATGTGCCTTCGCACAAGAGGACATGCATGTATCCAAACTAGCTAGCTAGATCTTACTACAATTCACCTGAATATATTACAAGTTACAAGTCCAAACCGTAAGTGTATTTTTAGCAAGATCATTTATATAAAAAGAAAAGAAAAAGAAAAGAAAAAGAAAAAGAAAAAGAAAAAATATGTGTTCCCTCCATTAATAGCTTTTTTTTTATCCATTCCCTTAATCTGTACTATTTTATTAAAAGTTAGTATGACAAAAGCAAGAACAACAACGTTCAAAGAAATAGGGAGGGTTTTATATGGGTCTTCTTTCTAATGAGGAGTTTGCTGCAAGCCTGCAACTCATTCACCGTCCTTGAATGAAATTGTTTAGACTGTAAGGGGGC